AGGGAGGGGGGGGGAAGGCAATAAATTTTGGGCGCTGGGGTGGGCTGGCTCGGCTGGTTTGCTTAACCTCGGAAGCAAAGGAGAGGAAAGGAAAGGAAGGTGTTAATTCCCTACTGGAGTTAATGCGCTCCGCTGCTCATCCTAATCGCGGGCGCGGGGTTAGCGGGGGATGAGAAGATGGATTACGAATCCATCCATCCATCCGGCGAGCCGCGCTTTACCGCTGGCGGGGGAAAGAGGAGACGGGGGAAAGAGGGAGGGAAGAAGGGAGCCGCCCGCGGTGGGCCCGCCGTGTCAGCGGCTCTGGGCGCTCGCTTTGACTGTCTCTGGCGGACCGACGCGGCTGCGTTGGAGCCTTGCCCCTCTTGGGATGGGAAGCTCGGGTCGGCCGGTGTCAACGCGGCCAGACCGTCGTCCGTGCACGCTTGGGCTGAGACTACTGACACGACAGCCTTTTTATCCGGGCCGTGCGACTTTGTGTGCGCGAATCTTGCTTGTTTTTACATGTTTTTCGGGTAATGTTGAGTGCTCCGACGACCTTGCTACACACAGCCAAATTTTATCCAGACCATGTTTGTTTTTTATTTTATTTTTGCGGGTTATCCAGACGATGTTTCCGTGTAGCAAATGGGTGTATCATCAGCGGCGAAAATGGGTACCGATGTTTTCAGCCCTTACCTTGATGGTGGAGGGAGGATGAGGGTGCGGTTATGGATTAACGACTTAGAACAATGTACTTGTATAATTGAATGATGGTATGGGTTGCATTATCGTCGTGCTTGATTAACCATGTACTCCATCTGACCCAGAATAAAGTGACATTGATTTAGTTGGGAACGGAGGGAGTGTTTACGAAGAGTATCGCTGTTGTAGTGCTATATTTCATTCCGGCTATCTATGGTTATTAGCATGTTATTTACTCAGGACAGGGGCATAAATTGGACTCGCCTTGTGTCTTGGTGTGTTTGATTGGATGTATCAGATGAAACGTAAGGAGGCGGTCCCACCAGCTGGGCCGATACCGATGTTCGGTGAGGTGGTTCCGCTGAAGGGGATATTCCCCTGGTATGCGGAACCAGATGGGTAAACACCAATTTGATCGAACGACTCGAATCATCGCTTGCGCATCCGTGCACACGTTGGCATGTGATGTCTGGCCTTGGCATTCGGTCACCGCTGTGGAGGAAAAAACCAAGCCTTTCTCCCCTCAGCCTCCAGCGCATCCATCTGCCCTCGAAAGTTTGTAATGCCAACTTGTTGGCCGCTTGAGAAGGAAGGGTGAGTGGGTGGGGCAGGGGCGATGTTGCAATTATGGATCGACGACTTGGAGCATGCCTAGTTAGTATAGGGTAAAGTTTGTAATGCCACCGTGTTCGCCGCTTACCTTGAGAATGAAGGGTGACTGGGTGGGGCAGGGGCGATGTTGCAATTATGGATCGACAACTTGGAGCATGCCTAGTTAGTACAGGGTAAGTCAAGCGTGTAAGGGGGTTCTGCAAGGGCTGGCGTGCCTTGATCACACGTGTGACAACATAATGTTAACCTAATAAGTCTACTTCCCTAAAACAATCAGGCTAATGTGTTTTGGTATTACAACATTTTCCAGGTGATATTTTGTAAGATATCAGAAAATCCACCTCATTATGGAAAATATATCATGTTCGGATCTAAATTGGAATGCTTTTATTATTTTGTTGAGGGCCTCTCGCATTGGTACTTCGATCGCGAAGTAAATAGTTTCCTTTTATACCTATATCGGGATATTCCGTACATAATTTCTAATGATATGTACGGAGCTACTTTTGTGTGTGCTGCAATAAAAATAT